CGCTCTCCATGCACTGCGCCACCTCACTTGTCCACGCCGCCTTCTCCTCCAGAGTCGCCGCCACTGCATGTTAACACAATATATTTTAGAATTCTTTAAACAATAATATCACACACCAAAAATTTTTTGCAACACTGTCTGATCTCATTTAGAAATTTTATGTAACTGTAACTTCAACCTGTAACAACGTGTGTATGCAACTATAACTTACCTAAATGAGCGCAGATCTGCTCGCCCTTAACCTCGACCAGTATCTTAAAGTCTTTGCCCTGGTAAGGATCACCACCGGGAGACGAACAAACTGACGTCGAATCTAAAACCAACAAGATCCCATTAAAAACCTTCATAACCTTGAAATATGTCTAAAGAATATCAACAAATGGAACGTAGTTATATTATACCATCATCATCGTGGCTAGAAGGGTCTTCGACTAGGAGCGCATCATGTAGTGGTAGACGTCCATTGGGCGGCAGGTGCAGTCGACCACCCGTGGCTCGGGTAGTCAGCAGGAGATGATTGCTGAATAAGAACGCTTGTCGAGCTTGCAGAGATGCTCGACGGCCTTTGCCGACCACTTGGGATAATGTGCCTAAGAATTAAAAAAAATCAGTTTGGAAAATATATCATCTTTTTATGGACACTGGTTTCAACTTTTTTTTTATTTATCAGACATGTTAGAGAAAATATATGTACTACCTTGCCGTATGAAGACCTGATTGACGTCAAGCAGGATATCACAGCCTTCGATGATCATGCGCTCTACCGCAAGATTCTTCCGCAAATTTTCTGTCTCGCTGACCTAAAAACCATTTACATTGATATGCACATTGCTATATCCAATGAAGTAAGTTAAGAGACTGTCGAACGACTATAAACAGCTGTATGACGAAGTACTAAGTTTTTTCAGATTGTAGGCGCCAAAAAATACCATGAAACATTGTTGGTTAAAGCTATTGTGTGTGGATAGAATTAATAGTTAGTATTCACCTCATCGTGCATCTGACGCGAGAGTTCCTCCAGCTGAGCGCGTGCGTGTTGCAAGCTGCGACGTTCGACGTGGTCGTGCGGCGTATGTGCCAGCAGTTCGTGCAACGTGATGATGTAGCGCGGAATCTGAACGTATCACAAACAATACACTATCAGAACCAAAACAGAAGACACGTAGTATGGTAACCCAACATCGAAAAGTTAAATAAACCGGATTTTATGGTTACAACAGTCCCGTGAACACAAGCATACCTGATGCATGGGGTAAGTGAGAAAGGTCTCCAGTGACCGGCTCTGGCAGGCGGGTTTGCTCTCGAGGCGCGCCAGTAGTTGTGCAAAAGGCTGGCTTTGCTTGCACTCGGTGAGGACTTGCAGCGAGTAGTGGTGGTTGCGCACGTACTCCTGGTAGATGGTCAGCATCGGCAGCAGCATGTCGAATAGATCTCCTGTAACCAACTCACTACTAAGCATATGTCGCTTCCTAGGAACATTGGGAAATTAGGCTAATAAATTATGGGTATTATGGCTAACAAACTGAGCCATTACAATATTATTGTGATTTTCTATTTCGCAATGATTATACCACCACCTAACAATGAACTATATTACTCATAGATAAGAGCCTCACCTAGCACTAGAGTGGGCCAGGATTCCATTCTGGATGTTAATCCTTTAAAGAATATCTGATGGAGGAACAGCACAGTTTCGCTGTTCAGGAATATCGAGTTGACATCCTCATGCGTGCAAGGTGGTTTCTTAGAGCTGGCCGCCATCTTGAATGGCCGGAGGAAGCAGGTCACCTTTAAATAAAAAGAAAACTTTAATACTTTCATTGGTAAAGCTTCTATAAAAAAGACGCCCGAAAGGAAATCGTTTCAAGTGCCATTTTTTTTAAATACGACTTACCAAAATCTCCATCTGCTCGAGATATTCCTCCTCAGCTTCGACCATTTTGAATACTAAGCTGTAATATGACATACCATTTGAGAAAATTTTTGCAGTCGGGATACAAATGGATAATAACATATAAGAAATTTAAATCGTAAGTTCGTAGACTGCCAGAGTACAATCTTTTGAAGTAAGTTGGAGTTTTTCTTAAATAAGAAATCAAATACCTGTTCCTCTTTCTCATGCTCTCGGCGTGCGGGCTCTTGATGTACTGGTCCACGATTTGTTTCCAACGACGCCGGCACAACCAGCCCCGAAAGAAACTCTATAAGAAAATTAAATTAATTTATTACACACCAAGAGGTAAAAGCCTTTAAACGACTCGAGTTTTTCGTTCATTTTATGTACATACCTGAACTTTCTTAATCTTGCGGAGCTCGACGGGGTCAATCTCGTCGGAGTCGCTCGGCGACAGGCTGGCGGTGGAGGTGGTGCGCGTCGCTGGCTCATGTTCCTTCTTGTACGCGCACAGCTAGATACCAAGATATAACTGACTGTTGCTTATAATATAAAATATCGAAGACACCTTTTATGATAAGGTGGCAAACCCACTGTGGGTAACACCAGAGGAGCTGTAAGGGTTGTCGTCTGCCTTTTAGGAAGAAGTACGCTGTCATTTGGAAGGACCTTCAGTCTAACTGTTTGATAATACTACTGAAGACACATTATTCTACAACACTGTCTGAAGTTACAAGGTTTGATTTCGTTTCACGAATACCGGCGAGTGTACCTCAGTGCGCAGCTTCTTGACCTCGTTGGTGAGTTCGTCGCACTGCTGCGCGTACTGCCAGCGCGACGTGCGCTCGCTCTCCACTACCTGCAGCAGATGCAGTTGTTTCTGCTCCAGCTCTTCCTTCTGCAGCAGCAGCTTGTTGAAGCTATAAACATACTACGTTTAGATAGCGTCTAGGGATAAATTGCTTTATGTTATCATGCAAATTAAAACAGTATTTTTTCTTTTATGTGTATTTAATCAGTACAATGATAATATATTAACATGCTGTTCTTGTCTAACACATTGTTGGGTCGTTACTCCAAGGTTTTCTATAGACATCTTCCGATAGATTTATCATTTTTATTTCTGAATTCATCTTTGGATCTAGTTCATTTATATTGTTTGTTATTTACGACTTTAATTCAAAAAGGCTTTAAAACATAATAAGAGTTCAAAAACATTGTTTAGTATTTTAGTGTTTAACTTTAATACTGTTCAGTTATGCGGATGTTATTCGCTTTCCGCTTTGGAGAATGTCGTTTTAAATGACAAAGAGTTTCCGCGTCGCATCCGCAGCATGAGGAAGCTAAAGAGATGAGAATATGTAGGAAATTATGAAGAGAATTCCTCAAGCCAAAGGTCACATGTTTTCAGTGTTGCAATTCAAATAACTAAGCCTGAGGGGAGAAGGGTGGGAAGAAGAAAACAGCTAAAAGTAGGAGTCTGGCACGCAAACTCATCAGACTTAGTTACTGGTAGCTTTCGAATTTATAATATTTGTAAAATAACATATAAGCAACCATAGCTAACGGTGGGTTTCTGACTTCAAAATCTCCGTTTAAAACATATTATATCTGTGTTGTCAAAGATAATTACAGGAATAACGATACGTTTTATAAAGAGGGTTTGGTATCAGAAACCCTCGATAAGTTACATAACAATTTGATCATTTTACTATAGAATGACATATTCATTTATGCTACAGGCATAACAATATATAAGACTACAATTTCCCGATATGATATTTACTATGAACAGACTGGTCTGAACTGTCATGGGTATTGACAGAATGAATGGCTCCCAGGCGCAAGCGGGTAATGAGATTTCTTTGTTCGTATTGTATGCACGTAGACATTCTGTTAACATAGATAGCCTTTTGTTAGTCTGTGTGCGGAACGTTTGTTTTACGTATAATATACGATCACATGTCAATAACTTTTGGAAGATGTTACCAGGCAATTGTCAAGTACAGTCAGGGCACTTCGCGGTGTTCCACTTACATGAAATACTTGGAAGAAGACAAACTGCGCCACTTCTTACAAAATATTTTTTTTCTGTCTTCGTCTCAATGCTTACGATACGTTCCAACAACTGTTGCTTTTAAGGTCTAAGTAAAATATTGATTTGTAACTTTTCTTAGAAAAAAACAATATCACGTATGAAAATAAAGGATTAAATAAATACTCGATGATTTAAAACAAAAGCTTGTCGTGCGAAACTCATAAGCGAGGAGGCATCAGAGCCGAATTAATTGCTTAATTGAACGTATTATTGGATTACTGTGCGGCGTCGGTTAGGCAATTTCACGGCACTGCAGTTGTCACGGCAATTGCTACGATGACAGTTTACATAGCAATTTGTTGCTGTTTGGGGAAAGTGGCAACCAATGGAAAAAGAAGGAAAATTCCACATGTTATTTAACTAGTTGTTGTATATCTTCGTAAAACTAGACGTGCATTAAATGTTTGATAACTTTAAACTTTTAACTCCTTGATTATAATAGCACTGGTAAATAGTGGTATAAGCAGAGATGATAAATTTCGATGATGGCAATATGTTATTAATTTACTTAATAAATAAGATAGTATAATACTACATTTTATAAAACAATAAGCGAGTTAAATTCACCGCAGTGTAGCAATAACAATAATTTAGGAGGTTATGTCTTGCGGCTTGCGGTTGGGACCGGGAAAATGCGATATTGAGGTCAGGGCTACGCTATCCCGGAGCACTCACTAGCTAAAGGTAGCAATTGACTTTACAACCTCTTTACATCGAGGAAAAGCTAAGTCAATGTAGTGTTAAGTGATGAAATAACTATAGAATTTCACTACAATGAAGTATTGACATCACTTTTATTCCCTTTGATAAAACTGAGACAGCTATACTCTCACAAGGATCTTATGGCAGTTTTGTGACAGGCGAGTACAATTTTTAAGGGTTACCAGTAAGCAAAAAATTCCTAACTTCTTTCGAAAGACGTCCATGATGCAACGCGAAGCAATAAATTTGCAATTTATATCCTGAATTCTCGTAGTAATTCCTTACTATTTAAATTGAATCGAAATCAACTAGCAAAATTAACTACATGTCAAAACATCACATTATAAATAAATGTTTTTATGGAATTTTGAAATTATGAAAATGGCAACATTATACCGTGCAGCTACCGCTCCCTCATTGGTCAAAATATGACGTTGTCAAGATGACATTCCTAGTTATCATATTTTCAAACTGCAATAAGATCCTTGTGGAATGTATATATTGTAACTAGCTGTCGCCCATGACTCCGTACGCGCTGGATAAAAAACTAGATAGTAGCAGATCCTCAGACCTACTGAACATGCTTATAAAATTTTATAAAAATCGTTCAAGCCATTTCCGAGGAGTGTGGTAACTAACATTGTGATACGAGAATTTCATATAAGATATTAGAAGTGGAGTACAAAGGTAAATAGAGATGTGTATTTTAGCTCAAAATGGTTTAAATGTTATATGTTACAATTAAACGCAAAAACAATTCATGAATATTAAACGTTTTGATATAATTTCTTGTTATTTCAATATATACGAGTAAGTATTAAGGAAATTAAACTCGGAGAATGAAAAAAGTGATAACTCACGATATCATAATTCATAACCTAAAAGTTATGACTTCCTAATGTTAATATCGCGTGTCTGTCTTATTGTTTTGTTTTTGATGAATAAGTTGTTACTAAGTAACTTATCCTTTTTATCGTAGTAATGGTTTGTTATAGTATATATTTTTACTAATAAATATAATCTTACTAATATTATAAATGTAAATGTTCAGATGTATGGATGTTTGTTTGAAGATATCTCTGAAACGGCAGAACGGATCTCGATGAAATTTGGCATACATATAGAGCAATCTGGAAGAACACATAGGCTACTAATTATATTTTTCATGCATTTCATTAATGATGGAGTCGCTGGCGACAGCTAATCTATACCAATTTTATAAAGTGGTAGAGTTTGTTTATTTAAATACGCGCTTATCTCACGAACTATTGGTCCGATTTGAAAAAATCTTTTTTTGTTGGATAGTTCATTTATAGAAGAAGGCTTTAGGCTATATAATATTACGCTGCGACCAATAGGAGCGAAGCGTCAGTGAGTACTAATTGTGTTTTTTTTATACCGCGCAGACGGAGTCGCGGACAGCTAGTATATTATATAATAAAAGAATTTCTAATGACATCATTAGAACATTGCTTTTTGCTATAAATAACAGCTTAAATAAAGTAATGAAATTATTCTCTCTTCAATTCCAATAAATTGTGAAGCTTCAACTCAAAAGAGCAAAGGTTAATATAAATATAGTTTTCACAGAATAAAAGAAGGTCTTAAACTGTTGAAACCTCATTTGTTTTTTTAAGCTTCATAAAAAACTTTAAGGCTTTACAGCGCAGAAAAAAATTACATCGCTTATTCACTTTAAATATATAATACTATTTAAAGTGTACGACCTATTTTAATGTACAAAGCCTTCGGCGTTAAAGTTATGACGTCATTTACCACATCAAAGATTTTGCAATTCTGCGAATTCTCGGATGCTAAAAGTTCTAAAGACTCTTTGTGTTTAATCTTAGAAATCAACTATATAAAACCTACCCTCGAGGGGTAGGCAGTGATTACGAATTTTCAATCGGTGCGGTTCTATCACGTTGTAAAGAGTCAATTAAATTAAAGGTTAAAGGCTTAGGATCGAATATCTTACAACTGTCAGCCCTTATACACAAATCAACGTAAATCTTCGAAAAAGTTTATGTCGCTAAACGACTCAGGCAATACAATATGGAGATTCATACAAAGGCACGCGTCGCCGAAAACTGTCGCACGCAACTTGTTTGTCACGAGCGTCGTGAGAACAGTTCCTGTGATTTACAATATTACCTTATATATTATGAGCGTCGGTGGCTCAGGGGTCAAGCATTTGACTTGCAATCTGCAGGTACTGGGTTCGAATCCCGCCATGTACCAATGTGTTTTTCTGTTTCTGATTTACATATGTACATTTATCCGACGTTCTTACGGTGAAGGAAAACATCGTGATACTGCACATATCCGAGAAGTAATTCAAAGATATGAGTGAAGTCAACCAACCCGCACTTGGCCAGCGTGGTTGACTATGGCCTAGTCCACCCCTAACTTAGGGTGGGCTCCGAGCCCCTCGGTGGGGACGTGTAGTGAGCTGATGATGATGACGATTGTAACATTTCATCAAAATGGGTACGAAATAAATGTCCTCAACTATACCTTTTAAAAGTTTGTTCCGCTATTAAAAATTATGCAGAGATATCGTATTTTTTCCACAAATTAATATAAAATGCCACATATTTCTACAACGTAATTTCCATTAATCGTTTGCGCTATTACGTCAGTTTGTAGGGAATTCGTTGGAAACTAAACGCGTAAAATAACTTCCGATGTCAAAGGAAAGCACGACTTAATTTGTTAAAGCGTTTAAATTTATACATAGCGAGCATTTAAGGTACGCAAATACTCGGATTTGCTAAAGAAAAAAGCATATTGACATTTTTTTTATAAACTGGCTAATGCTAAACAGCGGTTAACCTTTAACCTAGTTACAATTTCTTTTCATAACGCACATAGACAATATACCAGAGAAACTGTAGCGTCATCTTGGTCTTATCTTGATGAGCCTTAAAAGCCAATATTCATTTTTATTAGTAAGAGTTATAAGTTACTAGCTATCGCCCGCAACTCTGTCGGCGCGGAATGAAAAAAGACTTAATAAGTAGCCTACGTGTTCTTCCAGATTATGTTCTACATATATGCCAAATTTCAGCGAGATCCATGCAGCCGTTCACGACATACCTTCGAACAAACATCCATCCATCTTAACAATCGCATTTATAATTTCACTTATTCATTTATTAACCTTATTCTTAATATATTACATTTCATATAAAAATAAAAAATTATACAAAATATAATATATTAAAAATAGAGCGCCACCGGCTGCGGAGTCCCATGACTCAAACAACCAGTGGTCAGGGCTGCAGAGACATGAACCTTCTCACGATACGTGCGGTTTCTAGGATAACTGCTTTTGTATCGGGCCCTTAATCCAACTCTTTAGCGACAGCTTCTTGAGATGTTGTTCGAAACTCTTCGCTATCACAGATGCATTTATAATATTATTAAGATTAGTAATTAGTATAATTGTGTAGTACGAATAATACTCTATTACAGAGCAATTAAACTTATATCTTACATTCGAAGTAATCAAAGTGTGAATCTACTTTATTTAATTGCAAGTTATAATTCTATATATAACTGCTACAGTTTATGTCCACCCAGTCCAATGTAATAATACCTTTTTTTTTATAAAATTCACGCGTTTCCAGGGCTGGTAAATAGTTTAATATAAATGACGTCACAGCGAGAGCTTAATCTGATTATACTTTGATCAGTGGACGCAGTCAGCTGACGATCGATTTCATTGAATTAAATATGGTGGATCTGACACAAGCCACTTAATTTTAATATTATTTATTTAATGTAGTATCATCATCATCAGCTCACTATACGTCCCCACCGAAGGGCTCGGAGCCTACCTTAAGTTAAGGGTGATTAGGCCATCTACCACGCTGACCAAGTGCGGGTTGGTTGACTTCATACGTATCTTTGAATTTCTTCTCAGATATGTGCAGGTTGCATCACCATGTTTTCCTTCACCGTAAGAACGTCGGATAAATGCACATATGTAAATCGGAAATCGAAAAACACATTGGTACATGGCGGGATTCGAACCCAGGACCTGCAGATTGCAAGTAAAGTACTTGACCCCTGAGCCACCGACGCTCACTAATGTAGTATAGTATCAACAAATAAAATATTACAAAACGAATAATTTACTAAAATATATTATTAAAAGGAGTCCCTTTAGGCAAGGTCCCGAAGATACTGGCAGCGTTCCCCCTCTGTACAGCTAAACTAATTCTTTGACCGAGGTAGCTGCCAGCTCTTCGGTCCCCTGTGAT